AGGCCATTTCAGAGCGTGCCTCCACCATGAGTACTCCATGCTTCGGCCGCAAAAACAATTCAAGCTTCCCATTCTTGGTCTCCCTCGGCCTACCCGATAAAGGTAGTGTTTACACCATAAATTACAAAATTTTAAATTAATCTCATGTGTAAAATATTTTTTATTGGTTGGATGAGTTTGAAATATGTCAAATTCGGATTCTGAACCTCAGGACAGATCAACACTTGTGTTGGTAAAATAAGAGAGGTAAAGATAATTTTTTATGGAGTAATTATTTTCTTATGGATAATGGGAGCTGAAAAATAGGAGAAAATCACAATTAAAAAGGGGGTTTTATCTGATAAGAGTACAGGTGGCGAAATCTGAAAGGGGATTAGATTAGGTCAAAAGGTGAGGTGTCTCGTTACTTCAAAAACCACCCATGATTGAGTAACTGCAGAAAGTGAAAGTTACTGTTGGCACAAGAAGAACAAAAAGGAAATTTTGGAAGGAAGAACACACGGCCAGCCCTACTTAAACAACTGCAAATTTTCATACTTTTATTTTCTTTGCAATCTGCTTCCAGATTTCAAATTTTAGCATAGATTCCATTAGAATTAAGTTGTTTTTCATCATTCCAGTAGACAAATTAATTCATGTATTCAGTTCAACAATTTCCTTTCATGCAATGAATTTCAATCTTTCAAGTTTATGCAAGGTATTATTCTCTTTTCATTTGCAATTAATTTAATGTTTATGATAAGTAGCATTTTATTCAATGATTACTTATGTGGTGTTCATACCTCTTTTCAACCTCAAGCATGGTAGTTTAATTACTGTTCACGTTAAATTTTAATGTTAATTAAGATGAAATCTTTAATTCTGTAACATGTTAATTTCTATATTTGTCAGTACATTGCATTTTAATTCAACAATGAACATATTTAGTTTAATTTAGGTATAGCTTTTTCTCGCAAATTTACTTTAAATTGCAGGTAATTTAGAATAATTAGGATTTGTTAATTTTAAGTCACGGTAGTATTTAAGTCCTTGGAGTTGTCCAAGGCAGATTTCGTAACCCATTCTGCAAGAAGATATCCCTCTCTCTTGCAAATCGTTTGAAGGCGCAAATTTCATTTTAACCCAAAGTTCTTCCCGCCATCTGCAAAGAGGTCGACCGTGAGGAAGGAGAGGGTCGTTGGGAAAGTCCTCCTTTCTTACTTTCAGCAAAGTAAGTGGCATGCCCGCATACAGATTTCGCATGTGCGATGCCACTAGAGGATTTTTGAGGAAACTGGTAGTAAGGAACCAAAACTTTAGCAAAGGCATCTCGGAGAGTCTTTATTACACATTTCCGGTTAGGATTCAAGTATCCCTATCGGTAAAAATATACAGTTGGGGTAAAGACACGCTCTCCAATTATGTCGTTAAGATTGGAGAGGTAAAGTCTACCGTAGGGGACTGCAGGTATAGGTCCAGCAGGCATTACCGTAACCATTTGGTGGATAGTTATAGGGATATCAAGGGCTGGGAAACGGAGCTTTTGATCCCATGAAGCCATGGCGAGAGAGGTGCCACCACAGGTTTTGCATTGGTAGAACTGATTTTTCTTGAACATACAAAGTGGCTTGGAATTATACTACTGATAAGGGGATGTTGAAGACGTGTTTTTTGGAATTAATGTTGAGGATTGGTTGGCATGGAGCTGTTGGTGGTGAATATCTTCATGTTGCATTTAAGGGTTGTTTTGATTGTCAGCTGGAAGAGATTTGTCAGTTTTATGTTTCTCGGTTTTGGTAATGTTCCGCATGATTCATTAACTAGAAATTTAGGGCAGAAACGGTTCATCAACAAGGCAGGTATGAAGTTGTTGGGAGTAAAGGTTCAGTGACCAAACATTCCTATAAGCATTGGGTTCAGTTTTTGATAAAGAAAAAGGAGAATATACCAGTTTTTTGCATATAAAACATCCAGCATAAGAACAGACTTTTTCTCTGAGAAAACTGTCCTATGGAAAGTCGAAAATGGGAGACTGACGTTTATTGTTCATTAAGAAAAAGAACAAGAGCCAGCATATGTTAAGGTAAAAAGGAAACAGAAACCGACATAGCGAGCCTAGCGCACCGGCTGCTGATTGTAGTGATTCTTCTCTTTTTTCTTCGCAGCAGCAAGCCTCGCATTCCTTGCAGCTGCCTCACTAGCAGCAGCTCGGGCAGCAGCATCCATCTCTTTATTTGATTTTTTCTTCTTAGCAGAAGCCACTTTCTTCAGACGCTCTTTCACATCAACATCAGGTGCCTCTTCAGGTTTCTCTGCCTCACTCATTTCATTAGTGGCAAATGCAACATCAGTGTCTTCAGGTTGGCATTGAGACGATTCTTTCACCTCCTTTGACACCTTATCCTTCTTTTTCTTCTTTTTGGCAGTTTTGCTCTCTGCAGGGGCATTCTCTTTCTTCTCCATTCCCTCGTTCTCCGCTTTCTCCTCCTTCACAACACCTTCCAGCAGGGGAAACAATCATTTTCATCATATGAGAAAAATGATTATGCAACTAAATCAAAGGGGTGATGCATTGGCAAGAGACTACCGCTTGCAGTTCAAAGATGATACAGAATTCAAACTTAAAACCCCACCTACAGTTCACACTTCATGAGTAATAGTCAAGTAAACTAGCAAACAGCTTCCTTGCACTCTCAGTCCATTAATTTAAGTACTAGCAAGAGTGATGCATCATGAAAAGTGGGAATGAAGTACTTTAACAAAGGACCTGATTAACAATAATTTCAACTGTCAAACAAACTAAGAAATAAAATTACTCAAAGAAGAAGATACTTACTCCATTAATTCTTACAGAAGCCAATTAAACAATTTCACATTTTCATGGTGCTTACATTTCTATTTTCTTCCAGTGTCAAAATTTGTCTCATGTTCTTTTGCAAAGAGATCAGTCTCAGAATCACAGCATCTAAGAAGGTTGCCATTGCCAATATGAATACACAAGTATGCATAAGTTAGTAAATTACCACAAGATTCATCAGAGCCAACTGTCTCTTTTGTGGGGTATCCTAACTCAGCAAGAACAGCATCAAGTTCCTCAAGCCCCTTTTTCTTCAATTCCTTCTTTGAAAGCTGCCTTTCTGTATCCTTATGTACAGAAAGTTCAGAAGGCTTCCTCACAACTGGCTCTGGCTCTTCCTGTACTGGAACCTCAGGTTCATTTTCATGTTCTTCTTCAACATCTTCCTCAACATCATCAAGACCTTCCACTTCACTATCACTTTCCTGGAATATAAAGAAGAGCAATTAGCAAACATAAAAACAACCTTATAGAACCCTGGTAACAAGGGCATTCGTATCCAATTTGATTTACTCAAAATCATAATTCCAGTTATACATCTTTTGAGCCTAGTTTAAACGAAAACATCTACAACTTACTATCACAAGATGTGGTTAATTAGTTCCTTTCTCTTTCTCTAAACTGCAGTCCTATGGTAACAAGTGATGTTTTCCTTGAGACTTTTGCAAGCAGTGCTTAGCAAATTTCCTTATTGACATGTTGTAAATGAAGACATGCTGATTGAAATGAGAAATGCTCTCACCACATTGACTTGATTCTAAGTTTTAACTAACACACCATATTTAACACCCAAGTAAAAATTGCCACAAATTCACCCATAAAAATTCAGTTTTCTTATTGACATTTACCAGGCTACAGGCAACCAAATATATGGACATTGATTGAGTTACTTGAGGCCACCACCTTAGTTCATAACATAACATGAAGTT